CTTCTGACTTCCCAACAGTCAGAAATTGCAATTCATGCAGGATTGGATGTGTCAAACAAGCAGTTTCACAACAAAAAGCTGATGGAAGAATCACAAAGTATGGTGGTGGTGAAGTAGAGCTGGGAGTCTCTTGGCTTTATGTCCTCGGATTATGTCACCAGGTGGCAGCTGGTAGGTGTGAAATTAGAAGGCTCCAGGGACAAACATTGAGAAATTTTATTTTGATTTGATTTGATTTATTATTGTCGAATATACCGGGCTGCAGTGAAAAATATTGTTTTGTTTGCAATCCAGATGAATCATACCTTACCTAAGTGCATCGGGGTAATTGAACAGAATACAGAATGTAATGTTATAGCTTCAGAGAAGGCGCAGAGAATGTTCAACTCTAATATATAAGAGGTCTGTCCATAAGTCTGATAACAGCAGGGAAGAAGCTGCTCTTAAATCCAGCTATTCTTAAATTCCAGACATAACTAAGAAACAGTAAGAAGAAGAACATTGCAGGTGATAATCCAGGAATGACTGGATTTGTGAGAGTGACACTTAGCAGGGGCTGTTTCCCTCAGCTGAACAAGAAGCCTTAGAGGGAAATATTAGTAATTTAAAAATATGTTCCCATGTTTCACAGTTGACCTTCTTTGACTTAGAAGTAGAAGTTTGGGTTGAAAGTGCTGTTGAAGAAACCATGGTGAGTTGCTTTAGTCAGGATATGTTAGCTGTGATCTCAAAAGCAGAAGAGAATCTTGAATTGTTGAATAAAGTATTAAAAGGTTTCAATAATGAGAACATGTTGGTTTTTGTGCAACCTGAGGCCACATGCCATGGCCTGAGAAAGGGCTGCAGTCATTAAAACAGAAAATAGAGGCTATAGTCAATTCTCCAAAACCACATCAGAGCTTCAACCTTGTTTGAGTATTTTCCAATATTACCCACAATTTCTCCCATAGCTTGCAATGTTGTTAGGGCAACTACACAGCTTGTGTAGAAAGATGAGAAATGGGAATGATCTAAAAATGTTCATCATGCATATAAGAGAAGCTTGGATGAGGCACTAATTATTTATTATAACACAAATCACAACATGAAGCTAATGTGTGAGAGTCTTCTATGTATTTTATGTATTCTATATATTTCTATGTATGAATTTGAGGCAGTGATCAGTCATGTCATAAATAATGCTCAAGAGAAGCCCATTTACATCACAACAATGACCAAGAGTGAACACAACTCCATGCACATAGAAAGGGATTATAATGTTCTTTATAATTAAAAGACCCATTCAATTCTTGTAGCTTTAAAAACTTTGTGCTAGTAACATATCGTAAACTGTTAGTAGCTGTTGTGGATCCAAAGTTTCTGAGTCTAATGAAGGCAACATCTACGATGCAGCGATGGGCAGTACTTTTCTCACAGAGTGACTGCTACATAGAATAATGGAGATCAATGGTGAATCCTCCAGATGACACATTATCAAATTTGCCACACAAAGACCCCACATTAGATTGTAAATGTGAAATCATCAAAAGTCACTTTTGTAGATAAAGATTTTTTATTCAGTGCAACTGAAATTGCAGCTGAAACTCAAAGAGTTGGTTTTAAAAAGTCTGTAAATTGACTGAATGACAGGAAGAGTTTGATTGGTGACAGGTAAGGACCATAGAGTGGACAGACCAGGTTCTTTAAAAGAAAGGATTCTAGCAAAGCTACATATGGAACACACAGGAACAGTTGATGTGAAATCATAGCCAGGAGTCTTGTTTATTGGCCACGTCTAGACTGTGACCGAGAATCATTGTTTAGCAAACTACAATTTGTCAAATCTATAGGAATACTGCCAAGGGCTCCTTTTCAACCATGGTCATGGGTGACTTGTCCATTTCAAAGAGTACATAGACTGCTGTGAAAAGAAACCCAAAAGATTGCAACTGGAATTAAACCAAGTATTAAACAGGAAAGTATATGGAAAACAATTGCTGAGATTATGGACCTCAAAATATTAACACAGTTTGAATGCAAGCAGTTATCCGTAAAGAAAACAAGATCATCTGCATCTCCTGAATTGAAGGTGGGAAGTCCAAAACCTTAGGTTACATCAAAACCTCTCAGAAGATCAGAAAGGCTTTATTCAACTTGACCTATAGATATAATTTAAAAACAAATGGGAGCCTGTTGATATTTTGCCAAGTGTGTGTTTTCTCAATGATCTGTTTGTTTGTTTTTTGAAGTTGAATAGTTAGTGTAATTAATAGTTTATTCGGATATAAAGCTGTTGTTGAACAAAGGCGAGTTGAAGGCTGTATACATATGTCATGAACATGCCCAGTGCGTGATGTCATTAAATGTGTGATCAAGTCATCTTATTGACTGTATCCCTTTGCCATTTCCTCCAAATACACAACATAGATAATATGTTCTCTCATTTGTGGTGAAGGAATTCCTCGTCTCATTACTGTTTATACTGTGACCATCCCCCAGGACATATCAGGAAAATTAAACACTGCTAATAATACTCATATCTCTCTGTAATTTGCCAGATTTTTTTGTTTTGCTCTATCTTTGCCCATTATTTATAAAGCAGTTAACATAATAGATCCTCTATTATCCTTTAATTCCAAACAGATAGACTCTGTCTTTGATCCGTCAACTCCACCATCCCTCTGCAGTGCTATAATATATTTATTGATCAGTATTTCTAACATTCCTTTTGTTTGTTACATTTCCTGATTGCATTGCAGCCAATATATTAAGTTCCCTAATCTCCCCTTCTTTATTGTGGCTAATTCATGATGTGGAGATGCCAGAGTTGAACTGGGGTGGACAAGGTCAAAAATCACATGACACCAGGTAATAGTCCAACAGGTTTATTTGAAAACACAAGCTTTCAGAGCCTCAGTCAATATTCAGGTGTCAGTAATACACCTGAAGAAGGAGTGAGACTCCAAAATCTTATCTCTTCAACTAAACCTGTTGGACAATAAACTTATGTCATGCGATTTTTGACCGCGGCTCATT